CAATCTGATATGTTTGTGGGTTTTTTTATAAAAAGAATGCCCATGATTTGTTCACCAGGATTCTCACTTGACAGTGCACTGGGATTATCTGTGCTAAGTGTGAATTAGCAATGTAGAGAAAAGGAGGTGGCTGTTCACAGGACATCATTTGTCACAGCAGGTAGAAGATGGTATCAGAGTGGCAAGAATGGTCTGACAATTAATTCAGTGCTCTGGGGGCATGGAGAGCTGGGTTCTATCCCTACCACAGCACCTCATCCCCTTGTGCTGGCTCAGTCCCTCGGGACAGGCTTTCCATGAGTGATCATTAATTGCATCCTCATTTTCAAGGTGCCCATGACAAGCATCCTCTGTTCTTCCCTATTCTTTGACCAGAGTTCTGCCAGGCTGTGTGGACTGAAGGCCAGAGCACATCACCGACCTTAGGAAACGCAGCACGATGCCACATACTCTGACAGAACAAACCCTGCCTGTCTCAAAGGGGTACCCCCAAACAGTGAGAATGTTTGACGTTATATTCTGTACCTCACTTCACTCTTACCCATAAACTGCAGACGATGATTTCACTTTCCCACAAACTGACATACAGATGGCAAAAAGAAGTTCATTTCTGTCCGTGGAGCATTCCGGTATCATGGTGGCAGCACTCAGGAGCACCCTGAATTGGGAAACTAACGTCTTACCCCACACTGAGGTTTGATGAGTGAAGAAGAATCACCAGAGTGAAGGACGCGGATGGAAGAGGCGCTGCAGAACCACTGCTCCAGTTGGCACAAGGCCTTCCGTGCAGGGAGGCAGGCACAGGCTTTGATGATCCACTTAGATGGTATCATGGTAAAATGTCACAAGGTTGTCACAGCGATGCCATCGCTGGCGTCTTTTGTGGGAGAATTCTTAGAAATTCATAGAATCCTAGAATGGTTTGGGTTGGAAGGGACCTCAAAGATCATCTAGTTCCAACCCCCCTGCCATGGGCAGGGACACCTCCCACTAGAGCAGGTTGCTCAAGGCCACATCCAGCCTGGGATGGATTAATGGTCATCAAATTAATGGTCATCCCGTGAGCACCCCAAGCTCTGGGCAGCTGTTGACAACAGGCCTCTGACAATAGTCCAGGCCCTTGATAACAGTGCAGGCCCAGAGGTTACTAAACGGTTAAATTGTGACTTGTAAACTAATGAAGCTGGCAGAAAAGGAGTAGCTGTCTTCTGAATGTGCTGATAAGTAGGACCTTGAGTAGAATTAAGAAAAAAGACTGTGTGTGTAAACAGCTAATAATAAAAAAAAAGACTGTGTGTGTAAACAGCTAATAATAGCCAACTATAAAAGCATGTAACTAGTTATCACCTGCTAATAATAGTCCACTATAAAGGCATCACCTGGGAATTGTCTATAAAAGCTGAGCTATCTGTGCAATAAAGTGGCATCTACCTGATCACATTGATCATCGTGTAGGGTGTCTGAAGCTTCCGTGTCATTAGTCTTTGAGGTGCAGTGCTTTGCTCTGGAGCCTTACGGCTTGTGAGGCCCCCAGCCAGCAGCTGAAGGCTGCAGCAGCCTTACATGCGCGCTGTGTGACTCACACTGCTCATTTAGCTTAGCAGGGGTCCCCTCTGGACCAGAGTCCTCGTTGTTCATGCCTTAGATTGGCTTTTCACATAGTGCTGTTTGTTACGAGTGGCATAGATAAGTCACAGGCGACAGGACGAGAGGAAATGGCCTCAAGTTGCACCAGGGGAGGTTCAGGCTGGATATTAGGAAAAATTTTTCACTGAAAGGGTTATCAGCCCTTGGAATGGGCTGCCCAGGGAGGGGGTTGAGGCACCATCCCTGGAGGTGTTCAAAAGACGGGTTGATGTAGTGCTGGGAGGTATGGTTTAGTGATGATGCTCCTTGTTTGTTGTGTGGGTGTCTATTTTTGTCAGTTAGGTTGACGGTTGGACAAGATGATCTTTGAGGTCCCTTCCAACCTAGAAGACTCTGTGATTCTGTGATATACACTTAGAGCACTCACAAATGTGTTACAGCTCATGCTGCAAGGAAAGTCTCCCTCCCTGCCTCAAGCACAACCTCTGGGACATGTGTTGTCTCCTGCGTTTGCGCAAAGCCCTTCACGACGTGACTTCCCGCTCAGTATCATCTCCTGCAGCAGTAGAGGATAACACCACTGGGGAGCTAGTTCTGTTAATACTCTCTCAGTCCACAGCAACATTTCTATTTCAGCAGCAAGCACTAGCATTATGATGATAATACCCCAGGGATTATGGGATGATTTGCCCCGGGGATGTTAAATTCAACACATTCCAGACTCACCGAAGCTCACTTTCTCCTCCCCTCTCCTCACATGAAACCCCTGCACTTTACCAGCTCCTCATTTTGTGTTTAGGGCACCAGCCACTTCCCATCAGTAACTGACCAACAGAGGGCAGAGAGCGCCTTGCTTTGACTTCCCTGCAAATGAGGACTACCAACGTTTAAATCAGAGCTTGGTGTGATCAAGCTGGTGCCTTTTGGGAGGAGTATGGTTAGGCCACAGGCTACAAGGAGGCTACATTTCTGTTGCAAGAACACTAGAAGTTATTTACTTGTGAACATGCTGTCTTTACACCCAGTGCAAGCACAATCTGAAGCAAGGGCTAGAAGATAATAAATGAACTGGCGTGAAGGGAAGTTTGGACTAATTTTACCTCTGGACTCTTATTTTCCTTTTACTCCCAACAAGAGAGAAAAACCACCAGGTTTTGTTTCTTAGAGGAGCCTTGGGGCCAGCCTGTTACACAAGAGGCTGTGTCCCTGAGAGCCCGAGGCTCCGGGTTGGTGGTACGTCAGTACAGCATCATCTCCTCTTCCCTCTCACAGTCACAGCATGCATGAGCATAAGGTGAGCTGAGCACCAAGCCCTCAGCCTTGTAGAGCAAGTTTAACCAAGTAAATTCTCCCTTAATCCAGTCTGGGAAATCATGAGCACTGCAGGTGGTATGTTAATGGCATGCGATAGGACTGGTACAGCAACCTCCCTGCCCCTGCCTCTTACTCACCCCAAGTCTGCAATTCAGCTGCCCAGTTACTCGCTGCACACTGAGCATGAAAAAGGCTGGATAAAATAGAGGGAACGGGCAAGATCCCTGCTCAGCAATGGATATTCACAGCCTGGCCCCGGGAGCTTCCTTGCAGTCCAAGGCTGGAGGTTTGGCTCAGAGTTCTTGTTCAGAAGTGAAATGCTCCAGCTCCAAGGGACAGACGGACTCAGTGAAAGACACAACTCGACCTCTTACTCAATAGGATTGATGGCTTGGGTGGGTCTGTTCTTTCTAGTGGAGGACATTGGGATATCCTGGTACGAGGGACTACATGAGGTAAAGAAGGTACAGATTCCTGAAGCTGATAATGACTTTTAAAGAATTCACAGTGGAAACCAGTTCATTAGCTTTATTTGGCTTTGGGTCGAGCCTCGGGTATTTACATCTTACCTTCTCCCTTTGTATTAGTTGCAATATTACACAGCTTTTTATCAGCATGTGTTCTGCTCTGAAATGCCAGCTGATTTAAAGCAGAGCAATTTGCATGGAGGTAAACCACTCCGGGGATGACTCAGCCTTTCTGATGTAGATAATTTACAATTCTATAAACGAGGGAGGTTATAGGGGTGGGACACGAATAAACCTGGGTCTAAAGAAGATAAAGGGATGCTCTAAAGAGATAAAGCATCTCCATTTCAAAAACTCTTCTCAAAAAGCCTGGCAGAAGGAGGCATTCAGCTCACACTGATGCTGGGCAAACACGTCTTTCCCTCCTTTAAGAGCCCTGGAGGCAGTACCCAGAGAGCGAGGCCGTGACTGGGACCCAAGCAGTGCTGCGGGTCCCCTGCCTCTCACCTGTCTCACCCCCAGCCCCGCTGCCCCAAGGGCTGCCCCAAAGGTCTCTGGGAGGACAAGAGCTGGACAGTTAAAATATATGTGGTGTGTTTCTGAAAAGTCCCCAGCAGGTTTATGGTATCATGTTCTTCAGTCCCAGGGAAAAATAATATTTTGAGTGGGGAAGAATCATAGAATTGTCCAGGTTGGAAGGGAAACTTCAGATGACCTAGTCCAACCATCAACCTAACTCTGATAAAACCCATCACTAACCCATGTCTCCAAGCACTATGTCAATCCGGCTTTTAAATCCCTCCAGGGACGGTGCCTCAACCCCTTCCCTGGGCAGCCCATCCCAAGGCTTCATAACCCTTTCTGTGTAAAAATTGTTCCTAATATCCAATCTAAACCTTCCCTGATGCACCTTGAGGCCATTTCCTCTTGTCCCATCGCCTGTTCCTTGGGAGAAGAGACCGACCCCCCCTGGCTACACCCTCCTTTCAGGGAGTTGGAGAGAGCGAGGTCTCCCCTCCTTTTCTCCAGGCTGAACAACCCCAAGAGAGGAACAGTATCATGTCCTTCCTTTAAAACATCTACGTATCTTGGTTGTGTCACTTCCGTTCTCAAGACACCTAATCACTCCCTCCCATTCCTCTGATTATGCACTGTAGGCCAATTGAGTAATAAAATACTTAATTAAATAGCCACATGTCTTTGTTTTACCCTTTAATTAGATTACTCGGAAATAATAATAGTTTCTCACCAACCTGAGGGTTTCATTCGTGCCTTCTCCAGATAACAGGAAGTAATTTATCTTTTCCAACTGATACTTTTGTACATCCCAAGTAAAATTAATCAATTCTGATTTTAAAGTCAATTAGAAATAGATACACTCTGACACCGCACTGTTATCTTCATGAGTGAAATCACGAATTCAGACTCTGATAACAACACAGCACAACAAAAATTCTCTTATTCTGGGTGACAATTTCAAAATAATAAGTCTGGTTATTGCTTTTTTTTAAACTAGGTAATCACTGCTGCAATAATTACCTTGTTAACAAAACGGTCCAGAAGACATAGGTAAGAAGAGTTACTTTATAGTTTTTGATAAGCTGCCTTGGAATTCAGTAATGAAAAATGATGTGAAAACAAAATATTCCTGCATTTATTAACCACCAGCTTTACAAAGCCTTAAGTCAGCTAGGAGTGTTAAGCTACTGTTAAAGATTTAAAATAGCTTAGCAGTTAACGGAGAACGATGGCATCTGCTGAGTATTCAACAGTCACTGTGTGATGTTTGCTTAGAGCTGTGTCTAGCCCAAAGTGGGAAAGCATTCCTAAAAATGGCTTCCACAGAGAGATGGGTCACTGTGGTCTCTTCCGGGACCAGCTTTATGTTGTTGACTTCTATGGTATTAGCAGACCAGACAAAAAACACAGGAAACTCAACAAAAACAAACACTGGTCATCAAAGGTGTGTCTGGGAGGGAGTGACCCCAGTGCAGCAGGACATGGGAGCAATTTGGCAGACAAGGTGCTGGGGTCCCAGTAAACAAGGTGAGTCTGAGCCCACCGAGTGGCCCCATGACAAAGAAGGGCCGCTGCATCCAGGGCTGTGTCACCGAGCGCGCAGGCAGCGGGGTGAGATGGGGAAGCTTTGCCCTCTGCTCTGCAGGGTCCATCTGCTAGTGCTGGGTCCAGTCTGAGCTCCCCAGTATGACAGGCATCCATGTACCAGAGTCTGGGGAAGGCCACCAAGATGCTCAGGGGTGGAGCACAGGGCAGATGAGGAGGTGCTGAGAGAGCTGGTTCTGCTCAGCCTGGAGAAGAGAAGGCAAAAGGGGATCTTAATGTTGTCTACAGTGGGAGGGTGTCAATAAGATGGAGCCATACTCTTTACAGAAGTGCACAGGGACAGGAAGAGGGACAAGCAAAAGTTCCTACACGTGAAATTCCAATTTGATATATGGAAAAAAATATTCACTGTGTGGATCACCAAACACTCGACCAGGGCATAAAAGAGGCTGTGAATCTCCACCCTCAAAGATATTTATCTCTTGACTGGACAACCTTATCTAAGTTGGTCCTGATTCAAGCAGGGTTTCAGAGGCCTAAATTCCTACCAAAGTGATTTTGTGTTTATGTGATTCCGTCTGGATTTTTGTGTGCTTCACTGAAATAATAATAATTAAACATTAAACATTTGTCAAGGAGCTAAGAAACTCAGCTCTGTTTCTGATGGCAGCTGGCTGTGCAACCTTTAGTAAATTACGTGATCTTGGAAGGAAGAGGTTTGTCATACGCAAAGTCAATGGGGATCTGTTGGTTGAGAGTGGAAAAAGGGAGAGAACAAAGTCAGGGGCTATTTCAGGAGAGGGGATCCCATACTCTAGGGATAGCAAAATAATAAGGGTGTTCCTCGGAGTGAATTAAAGAATAAAAGCCAGGTATGACTTAGCAAATGTTCCTCGGAGGGAGCCCAGGGCTTTGAAGTACCAGAGAGCAATCCTCATTCACAGACTACTGCTCAAAAATCTAATAGAATCACAATATTTAATCTAATAGAATCACAATATTTTAACGATCCTGCAGGATTTTTTTGTTACCACATGAACATGTCAAACATGGAAGGGATTTAAACAATTCTGCCATGCAGACCCTTAGCCTCAGTGGTTTCCCAGTCAAGTCCCAGCACCAACAGCACTAACTTAGCATGTCAGTTCTGGCTGTAACAGCATGGTTAAGACTGCATTAGTGATTTGAATATCGCTACTTACAATAGCCCAACTGAGAATAAATCTATACATATTTTGCCACAAGAAACAACCTCTGTCCTGGTGACCTTGAAATCTGGATTGGACTGAGAAAGAAGGGAAAAAAATATTATGAATAATATTAAATATTATCTCTCAGAAATGAACTCCCAGAAGCACTGGTTTCTTTTTCAAACCTATGAAATGTGAAAAGCTATAAAGTATACATGGTTTTCCTAAAAAGCCTTTGTACAAGATCATCCTGCACAGTTGTAGCAAACTTTCCTGATCTCTTGAGGTTCTTACTAGTCAAGAGAAAGTTATGACAGGGAATAATAAGAAAATTCCGTCCTGTGTGTCTTCTGCTTCTAGAAAGCATAAGGAAAAAAGAAAATAATCACGTAGTCTCCTCTTTTCCCTACATAAGTAAACAAAAGTAAGGTAAAATCTTGGATATGTAGCTCCTCTGCCACTCAATTATATTCATCGGTGTTTGCCACATTGTTCTGGTGTTAATTCATTATTTGTTGTTCTAGTTCACTGATAGGCCATGATTTTTAAAAAGGGAAAGTGATCTCTGAAAGAGTGTGAATGTGAAGATTGCTTTACGTTCATCTGGCAAGCATAAACTAATCAGTAGTCTGTGCACCTGGAATGCATTTTTTTTCTCATGAATTTTACAGAGCAGATAGTGCCAGTGGAACTTGACTTGAGGCACCAGAAGCTGAAAAATAAAGAGATTAGGATTGCTGGGGTTGAACAACAATCACTTTTCTGAAACGCCAGTTACAAAAGGAGGAAAAAAATGGTAACACAGAGGACATCTTCTGTAGTGTCCTTGAGATGAAACGCTGAATGTTATTAATTCACATTTGCTTTAGTAACCTTTACCTTGGAAACCTAAAAAACAGTAAGATAAAAACAGAGACTGCAAATGGCCCCACTGCCCTAGGGATGTATGTACATGTTGGATTCAATAGGAGTCACACATACGTGTACTTGGGGTAGCATTCAGCTTCTTCCTGCAAACGCTAAACTTCTACTAAAGTTAAAATTCATTCAGACAGCCGGGGTTAAAGGTCAGAGTACACCTAGCTGCAGTTTTAGGAATCAAACAATCTGCAAAAACAAGCCTAATGGGATGTATGAGCTGGGAGACAGGACAAATACGCTGCAAAGGAAACCCAGCTATGCAGACGTGGAACTCCAGCTCAGGTCAGCCTGAGCCTTACTGTCCTGCCAGGACAGGAATCTGTACCACAACAACGCGTGAGAGGTGACTGTTTATGCAGGTAATGTGTGAGAGAGAAATTTCTGTTAACTAAGGCTTGCGGAACTCATTTTTACTGTTAATAATTTGAATGGACCATTTAAATACAGAACTGTCAATATAAGTGGTCAAATATCTGTAAAGGAACATAAAGACTTAAAGGTGCATAGAAAAGCTTTATGACTTCAGTACTCACAGGCTCTGCCTGAGCAGCACCTCTTGTTCCGTGCTGGAATGAAAGTGATTCCTGTGCTGGAAGTTATGTGCATTATATACCTTGGTCAATGATAACCGCGGATAATCAGCATTGAAACGTGTGTTATACGCTTCGGGGAAAACAATCTGAGTCGTTTTCCTGCTCATCCCCAGAAATTCTCACTCAGTTGTAGGCGTGGGAACTTTCTTACCATAGTTTATGTGTGAAGCAGGGAAGACAAGATGAATTTTCACACCCTTACCAGTTGTAAGAAAACGCTAAACATTGCATTTGCGAAGTATGTAATTTTCCTGAAAAATTGGTAAGGATATTCTCCTCCTCTTTGAAAATTAACGAGTCTTTTCCCTGATTTCAGTGCACGGAAAGTGAACTCTCCCATTCCTCACTGTCAAAAGAAGAGATGTATTATAATTTCTACATATTCACCTATGCAATAGTGCATTCTAGTTAAGAAAAAATACACTTGAAACAAGAAAGGTTAAGTATCTGCAGTAGATACATTAAAACCACAAAACCTTAACTGCATGTCACAAAGCCCACACTGCTACCACTGATGTTCCACTTGCTTGACTGGTAGAAACTCAGATTACCCAGTATGTCCCTTTGTGCCATCAGAAATTTGCAGTTATTAGTGCTACTGTGATAACTCAGCACTGTGGACGGCCAGAGGTTGGTTAAAGTATTCATGTAACTTCAGAGAAGCATTAGCCCAGCCTGCAGGGTTGCTTTGACGCTCAATTTTTACTGTAGTACGTGTATATAGATGTAAACACAGAGGTATATGTATGCTCTGTGTGTGTACACAGAACTCTCTTTAGGGCCTTGGCCCAGAAGGTTGCCGCGGGAGGTGAGGGGATGATCGGGCCCAAACGCCTCCTTGCTGCTGTGGGCAGCCCCACCAGCGCACGAGCAAACCCCACCCGCGGCCGGGGAACCGGGTGCTGTTGAGAAGCGTTCCGCCGGCCTTTCTACCGAACTTACCGGCCAGCGCTCCGCCGAGGCCCGGCCTCACAAACCGCAGCCGGGGCCGCCCCGTCACGGCGCGGCCCGCCCCTCAGGCCGCCGGGAGCGCGCGCGCGCGGCGCGGAGCACGCCGGGACTTGTAGTCAGCGCCCGCCGGCGGCCGCCCAGAGACTCGGCGCCTGCGCAGATCCCGCCCGACTTTGTAAAGTCGCTGCCTCAGGTTGGTCTCGCACTGGCTGCCATCTTGGCCGAGGGACGGAGGAGCTGCTACGCCGCCGTGCCCGGTGAGGGGAGCGGGGCTCCGCGCTGCGGGCGGGGTGGGATGGAAGAGGCAGTGTTTAGCGGTGGGGACGGGACTCTGAGGGGGCGCGGGGCGGCTCGGCGGCCCCGGCCGCTCTCCTCGGCTCCGGGCGGCCGCGGCGGCGGAGACAGGGGGGCGCGGGGTACCCCGGCGGGGCGTAGGCCCGGCTTCTTGAGGGGCTTCTTGACCCCGGGAAGGCCTCGCTGAGGGAGCCTCCCCCTCCTCTGCCGCGCTGCCCGCCCGGCCCCCGGCGGGGGCAGCTCCTGGGCCGGGGGCCGGGCTGGGACGGCAGCATCGCTCCTTGCCTGGGGCACGGGGCGGCGGTGCCGGGACCCCGGCGCTCCCCTACCGGGACTGCCCGGCCCCGCCGCCCTTTCTCGGCGCTGCTGGCCTTTTTGTACTCCGGCTGGTGGGGGACACCTGCCCGGAGCCTGGCCCGGGGGTGCTCCTTTCCCTCAGCTCCGCGTCGCTTGCTCCAGCTGCCCCCAGCGGTGTTTGTTCCCCGGCCGGACCCCACCGTCCCTTCCAGGCTCCGTGTCGCTGAGATCAGGCTCTAAACCTTCGCCCTCTGAGGGCCTTGGGGATTCGCTCCCGTCAGAGGCTTGGCTTTCCGGCAGCCGTTCCGTGGCACAGCCTTTGTATCCAGCTTCCCAGCTTTTGTATCCAGCCCCCTCCGAGGAGCCCGGCCCCGCTGCCCCGGGCTCCCCGGCCAGATGGGGCGGCCGCCGCTTCACGGGGCTTCGCTGCGTTTGTCTTGTCAGGGGACAGCCGTGCCTGGAAGTCGTGTTTCCCAGCGATAAAGCGTGACCGTAGCTGGAGGTTTCTACTGAACTGCGTTCCCTCTTGTAAACACGGCAGAATGGCAGCGCCGGTGCCGCCGGTTTATTTTGGAAACACGGACAAGTTCTAGCTGTTAACTCTCCCGCTTCCAGACAGGGTGTGTGTGACCTTGTGTGGCAGTAGTAGCCAGATAAAGGCAGAAGAGGGTGTTTGGGGGTGCCTTTGTCTAGTTGGCTCCGATATCCAAGAATTCAGCTCGTCCTAATAGCTGTAATTTGTCATGTTAAATTGACAAAAGAACTTCAGATCTGTGTGTGATGCAGAGAGAAGGGTGGGTGTAGCGTTTGGGATATCCCTTTTCATTTGTGTGCCATCCTTTAACCTTGAAGCTTCAGAGAATGTCCCCAGCAAAACTTATCTTTATAGCTTAGTTACAGTTGAAGAAATCAGAAACCAGGGTATTTTAGACACTCTTTTCCCAAGACGTGACTACTTATTTTAGTGAGTTTCTTATTGTTTTGTTTGCTCCCTGCTACTCATCCTTTACAAAGAGAAAAGGAGAGAAATCTGGACTGATATTTTTAAGAATACCGCCCATGTTGAGAGAATGACAGCAGATCCACCTATTGCTTGTTTGTATTTACCTGAAAAAAGGCATAGATCTTTAAGAAGGAAACGGAAACTGCAAGCTGTCTTTGGTTCTGAGAATTTTAATGCTTAAAAAAAATCTTGTTTGAAAAAACGTATTGAAATTATTTTCTCTCTTCTTACAGCAAAAGTCCAAAGAAGTTCTAATTGAATCATAGTTACATTGCTTATTGCTGCAGCCGTTTAAATCTGGACTCGGTCTAGTGTACATTCTTAGTTGTGGCTTGGCTGACAGTTTTAATCACTGCACTGGATGCATTCACCTCCAAGGGATTATTGGAATAATATGTAGCATTCTGATCCAAAGTGAATTTTCTTGTCTTTAAAACAAAGAACTGATACAGTGCATGTGAAAGATGATGTTCCAGTGGAAAATAACTGAGACTCCTGAGTGCTAACTTTGAAAGCTTCTTACAGATTAAACAGTTATTTTGGGGCTTAAGAGAGATTGAGAGAAGATTATTTATATGAATGTATTAGTTAAGCAGCAGCACCTTGTTTTCTTCCCTCAATTTTCTCTCTCCTCTTAAATTTCTGTTTCCTCTGTGGTGAAACACACCTGAAATACCACGTTTTCTTGTTCCTTTGTTTCCAAGTTTCACAATGGTTTGGGGAAGTTAACTGCAGAATAAATAAGCTAATAGGAAGACAGCTAGTAAAGTAGCATGATGTTTCTCTTGTAGAGTTTAAATTAATCACTATTCCCAAGAAAGCTTGCCTTAGAACTGCCAGAGACATTAATTTTCTTCTATTTTACAGCATATGCAATAGATAAGTTGCTTCTCAACAGCATTGTCAGTATGAGTCAATGCTAACATCGAAACAGATATCTTTTGTAAACTTAAGCTGTTTAAACAAAGTGGTAAATGCATTGTACCATAGCAAAGTGCTTTTCATGTTACGGCAAAACCAATTTGATTTCTGCTTAAAATCAGAAGGAAAGGAAAAGCAAAGAAGCAAAGAAAAGAGTATGGGGTTAGGGCAGAAGAAGAACTCCTTGCAAATGGTAATGATGAAGCTTCTGGGAGTGCTATCACTGGTGCTGTTTATTATTAAGCCTTTCTGTTTCGCTCTCCAGTTATGTTCCTCTAATGTTCCCATTTTTGTCAATCTGTACTTAGATATAGTTGAATGAAGTGCTTTGTGCCCATACACCTAAGGAAAGTGAATACATGTGCAGAACCTAGAGGAGAGTATTTGCCTCAGCTGCTTACTGTAACTGTACTTTGCCCAACTAGAGAAGCACTTTGAAGTATGTGCTCGCCTCAGAAGAAGAAGTAGACAAGCCATGATTATAGTCTGGCTTGGGAGTATTCTGTTTTTCTAGACATTTACTTTTTAGTGTTCCATAAATATAGTATTTTTAAAGGTTTCAAGCAATCCTTCTTGGACTTGGTTTGACTGTTACCTGAGCTGTATCTGCATTATTCTTCAGGTGAGAGGGATGAAGCAAAAAACCTACCTTTCCTTCTCCAAAGGACTTAAACATTTTCTTTAGGTGACTGGCATTCAGGTTTTACTTGCTGTAGTTCAGAGTTGCTGCAGTTGAAGGATTGATCTTTTTCTATATAAGAAATGCAAATTACCCTTAATAGAAATGAAGGTATCATAACAAACTGGGAAAGAGCATTTTAAAGAAACCAAGGCCCTGTTTTGTATGACCAGCTCTTAAGTTATGCCTGGAATTTCTACTTTTACTATACTGGGGCATAGAACAAACTTCTGGTAAAACATCAAGGGCAGATGTTTTTTTTTTTCCCCTCCAAGGAAGCACGATACTAGATCTTGTTACACTGGTTATTCAAATCATTTTTTAAAACTTGGCAGGATGTTAATATGCTGTTCTTTTTCTTTTTTTTTTTTAACATGTTTTATTACAGTCCTCCCATTTAGAAACTGATAATGCCTGCCTTCCACCCACCTGCCTGAGCTATTCTAAACTCTGCTGGTAGGAGAGGCCCATTGTTTCAGTCCTGAACAGAACTGCTTACGTGTTTGCATTTACATCATTGATTTTGAGGTTCAGAGCTTACACTCAGGTGGTATTGTTGTGGAGCAAGAAAATGCCTGTTCAGGTGGATTGTTAAAGTTTTATTGTGTGGAACCCTGTTTCTTTGATAAGAAGTTCTTCTTGATAGAAGTGAGAGAGAGGTGCCTTACCTTTAACCGGAAACGTGCAGCCCTGGGATTGGATAGGTCATGATAGGAAAGCTGGAGATTTCAAGAAGAGAGTATTAATATCAGCCTCTCTAAAATCTTTATGATCTCTGTTTTCTGTTCTGTATAGGTCTAGCTTTTTGTCAAGAATAGCCTTTAGACATACTTTTTCTCTCTTAGTGTTAGCTAGATACCTGGTAATCTTTTTAATGTTTAATACTAAGGAAAGAAAGGTCAGTTAAGGTTTAAAGCAATCTTGAATAGAAAATGGAATAGGAAAGTCAGGTCTACAATCTGGTTGTGATGTATTAATTAATTCATTAAATGGGTAGCTGTTTGCAGTGAAATGTCCCATCAAGAATATAAAATTTGTGACTGGGAGCATGTTCATTTACTTAAAAATAAAATAGGCTCTTTGATTCCTTCACTTTCACATGATTGTGATGGAACTTTTGCCTCTGCAAATCATTCCTAAGTGCTTACTGCCCTTTTTAGCTTTTGCTCATCCAGTACAGTGAGGAAAGCTAAGGAAGACTAGATGCTGAGCAAGTAGAAGAGTGTGTACTGAAACACAGAAGAGTGGATTGTGTTAATTTTTAACATGTTTTTGGTCAGTAACCATCCCTCGTGCCTGCTCCTATCCCCAGTGCTTGCTGTCTTTTAATTATATATTAATAATCATTACTGTTGCTTGACAGTTAGTGGTCAGATATCCAAATTCTTATTTCTCCACTGCTGGTTTAATAAACTTTTGAATGGATTAAGACCTGTTGCTCCAAATACTGCATTTGTACTTTTCTGACACCTTAATTTTTGCTCTGCCAACGCCGTGAGGTGCTCCTCTCTTGATTTATTTACAAAGCAGCTAGATGGAGTGAGTATGTTCTTTATAAGGATTCCTCAACTTTCAAGACTTTTTTTCTTCTTTGCTTTGTTAGAGCCTGAATTAATTGACGTTTGGATCACTCTGATTAATTTCTCTATGAAGGGCTTGCCTTTAATAGTGCGTTTGTACCTTGTGTGTATTGCCTTCTGCTGTAAATGTATCATTTCAGAGACTAGATAAAAATAATATAGCAAGTAATATGTGAAAATATTTAGAAGGTGGTAATGTGTTTGGTTTAATCCCTAACTGGGTTTGCTAACTTCTGTGAAAGTGATGAGCTGCATTTTTTCACTGTATTGTACCTGAAGTTGAACCCCCTTTCCCATCCAGTTGAGACCCCCTGGGGCGATCAGGCATGTGAAGGACACTGCAGTCTCTAAAGAAAGGGAGAAAAAAGAAAATACAGGAGCTTGAAATATAAAAACTTAACAGTGTGACACTAACTTGTTTTTTGTATAAGGATAGCAAAGCTGCTTCCACTCCTAAATGTATGCGATTCATCCAGTGTGTGT